AGTTTCTAATTCCCAATCCATCATCTCTTGATGTCGTTTTATGATAGTATCCTTAAATGTTATACGTAAAAATATGCATGGAAACAAGTTTAAAAGGCTATGCACAAAAATATGTGATTTAATGATATGTGTGGAAACACGACTTAATAGACTATGTGTAAAAATATATGGCTTAATGATATGCATAGAAACACGACTTCAAATAGACATGACATACAACAAAAGCAAAAACTACAAATTACATAAAATGGACAAAAACAACAAAAATGGTCCAAATTAAGGTTCGTATAGACGTGAATTTAAGCATCGCGATTTTCAAACAAACATGAATAGCCTTGCAAAATAAAAATATTCAAAATCAATACTAAGATCAATGTAATTTTAAGCTTTGCAATTTTCAATCATAAAAAGGCATAAAACAATGAAATTTGACAAAATTAGCAAAGGGCAAAATTGGTGAAAGGAAAAATTGACAAAATGGTTTCGAATTACAATTCAAACCAACATGACTTCAAGCATCATGATTTTTAAATAAACAAGTGAAATGAAAAAATTATCAAGCAAGTTGGCATAATTGGCAAAACTCAATCGATTACAATAAAAGCTATTCAGTCAAATAATAAATTTATAACGAGTTCGAGTTCGAAAATTATCCTGGATAATCTATAAAGTTAAAACTCAAATTTGTCCTTCTAGCTCCAATATAAAGCACTCGAATCGACTTTATTTGTCCTTAATTTTTAGAAGTCTCGACCCCTTAAGTTCGATACACTATGGCGCATTTCAACATACTTCAATAACATATATTAAACATAAACTATATTTTCCAATATTCGAATTAATATAAAAATATTCTCTAGTAAAAAGTTTAAAATTTAGAGTTTTAATAACTTACGTGACGATCAAAAAACAATCACGGGATTACTAAGATGTTGTCGAGTATGAAATAACCAAAATGCTCTTTGAGGTTATTTTTGAGTTCTTCAACCCCAATAAAGAATAATTTTACTTTAGTCGGTTAGAGAGGTAAGTCGATCGCCTATTGAAAAGGTGATGAGCTCGTTATGAATCACCATGGGTCTCTCTTAAGCATAGCATTTACAATATCAAAGTTACCAAAGTGTATAGCGAGTGAAAAAAAAAATGCTCTTAACTCACTACACAACTCGAGTCATTGACCCATGCTCTAGAAATGACGAGCATGTACTTAAAAAAAAAAAGATGACATTACATCCTATACGTCATAAATACCTTATTTTGAGAAATAAGCTTAAAACTACCCTATTTTGAAAATAAAGTTTTAAAACTACCCTACTAAGAGAAAAAACTCCTTAATCGAATCCCATCTCCTTCCAAAACAAATCATCTAACTACTTGAAGGAACATCACAAGATACGGAATTAGAAACATGGTAAAAGAAGAAAGAGAACAACATGTTGAAGTTCCCTTAAAAGCTAAAATTGTCAAAATATCCCTCAATAATGAGTATTTATGAAATTTTCCCTAAAACCTTCAAGTTATTTCGAATGCTCTAGTCACCATCTAGCCTCTTATAGGTGCATCGTTTGCTCAAAAGGTGATAGCCAAGCCTTAACAAATTTCTAATAAAGGTCGTGTCATGTGTAGCCGGTTAGAGGGGAGAGATCGAGATCTATAGTCAATTGAGGTTGTCACCCTCTCCTCCTTCCTTGATCTTGATTCCGGGCATGATGAAGGATGATGAAGGTGGTCGTTGACTCAAGCCACTCTAAAAAAATTTGTCTTTAGGTGTTTGGAGGTCCGATTTGCTCTAAGAGAGCGATGAGTTTTTAAAAATAGGTAAGAATTGGTTTTTCTTTGATTTCACTAATTTTAACCAATTTTTGTCGAGTTTTTAGGGGTTATCAATTTTAAGAGGGTGAAAGATGTTTGTTTGGTGGCGGCGGTCAATTTGGCTAGAATTTAGAGATTTTTTAGGTTCAAAAATGGGTCGGATGGCTCTTCTTCTCTCTTGTTTTTTAGCCTCTCTACTATTTTTTATCTTTTAAACCAATTAGGAAGGGTCGATCCAAGTTTGAGCTTCATATGTATGGTGGTTATTGGGGTTGATGTTAACCATAGGGTTGTATTTTCAAAAAGAGGTGGTCGATAGTTCGATGGATCTAAGTCATAGGTTAGCTACTTAAGGGGTTGTTTGGCTAGTGGAAACGACGGATCAATGACAATCGACCGTTGTTCGCTTGGCAAGTAGAGGAGGTGGCAACAAGGGTTTGCGAGTCGATGAGATTTTTTAGAAGAGGGACTATTGCTTCCATATTTTTTTTACCTATACGATTTTTTATCCGCTTAGTATCTAGACATATGGAGCTTTTATATGTAGGGTTTTAAGGTTTCATGACAAACTCCACTTTGATTTCCTATTTCGTAGGCCTTTTTCATTGTAAACCTATCTACTTTCATTTATTTTTAATTACACACCTAATTAAATTTTTTTCTTATTTCGCTTGATTTTTCCAAACGAAACCTAAATGTTATTTTTTTATTCATCTTTTTATTATTTTTTTTATAAAATTCATAAAAATAAATAGGGTAAAAATTAGGTGCTAATAATAATCGTCACATAACCATCATGAGCTATCTTTTTTTCTAGAACTACTAAAGAAGCAAAAAGGTTGACATTATGTTGAATGATTAATGTGATTAGCATTTCTTTCAACAATTCGCTTAATCACATCTTTCTATGATCTTGAGTGTCTATATGGTCTTTTACTTACAAGTTGAGCTCCTTCTGAAAAGGTATTATGGTCATGCATCCTTACTAATGGTAGGGTCTTAGGTTTAAAAACACACTCTAGAATTCAGCTAAGGGGGCTATAATGGTCTGGATGATTTGATTATTGTAGATAGGTAAGTGTAGTTGGTATATTTATGGTTGTTGGTGAAACACACTTAAGTAAGGTAATGCTTGTAAAGATGTGTTTATGCCACTTGAATAGGAGTATCTAGTAACTTTTGGATTTGTGAGCTAGAAATGGTTTGGAATTTGGCACTTGCCAATTTAATTTCTTGACCTTTCTACTTAAGCTTCATCCATGTTTCTTAGTAGTTAGAGACAATATCCCCGGGTTTGATAGCTATTGGATGCACAAGACCATGTCATTATTATGGAGATCTACCAATAACATATCTATACTAAACCGAGTTCCTTTCATAACTCATTGAAACCCTTGCATATTATTCCGCATGGCACCCCCATTAGCGACCTTTGCAGCTAGAGGCTTGATAGGTGATAGTCCATAACCTAATCTTTTAGTTATAGTCAAATTGAAAAAATTATGAGTGGAACTAGAATCTACTAAAATGTGTAGGATCTTGTTGTTCATGTGACCCATAACTCTTAAGATTTTAAATCCACTTCAACCTTTTGAGACATTGACAAAAATATAAAGAGAAAGATCATCTCATAGTTTCTCATTAATTTGTTGTTCCTCCATTCCACCTACATCCTCCACATCATCATCATCAACTCTTTGTATAGAGAAGAGTTGTTTTTGCTTACATCTATGCCCCGGTGCATAGGCAACATCACACAAAAAACACTTGGTTCTTAGCTTTTTGTTTTGTTTTTTTTTTTTTTTTAATCAAACTCCTTACTAGTTAAGGTAGTAGGCAATTATGATATATATATTTTTTTAATGATGGTTAGGTGTATAAAGTTTGGTGGTGGTTAAAGGGCTATGTGGAGGTCTAACAACTGGGCTAAATTTGGTAAATTTAAGAGGTATTTTGGTGTAGGTTAGTGAGGTTTTTTGGTGATTTTTCTTAATATAGGTATTAGTATTGTCCTGCTTAGGAACTAAATCATAAGCTCTAACGAGGGTTTGGGGGATCAAATATTGAAATTGGAAACTAAACATCTTTCCTTAATCCAACCAAAAACATGCTTAGGGCTTGCTTGCTCATTGATGGCAACTCTGTTCCATAAAATATCAACCTCATATTTCTAAATCGGTGGTTTGAGTTAGGGTTTTTAACCGACTTAAGAAATCTAACTTTGCTCTAAATCTGTTTGTCATTGTAGCTATGTACTCATACCTAGGTAGTTTCCTTCCCAAAGTTTGTTTGTAAGTTTGATGCCATTGTAGTGTCCTACCATCTAAAAAGAAAGAAGCGTATTGAACCTTTTTATATTCATTCATAAGTTCAATCTTACAAAATTTATGACACTTATACAACCATTTATTAATATCATCTCCTTCAACTATTGAAAAGTCTTCTTTTGGCTTCGAGGTTTACATCAATGGTTGAACTCATAGTATGGGTTATCGAGTTTTTAGGTAGCATGTGTAAAAGTTGATGAATCATTATGGTTATGGGTGTTAGTAATATAGGGTTAGATGGTGAGGGTGCGGCTAGAAGAGAAATTTGATATATTCAAGGAGTAACTAGTGGAAGTTATTCCACGGAGAGAGATAGACACAAAAATAAAAAATAAAAAAATACAAGAGAGAAAATTTATAAAAAAAATAAAATAAAATTGAGCCAATGTAGAAACCTTCTTATCACTTTTGACTAGTCGGGATGTTATTATTATTATTATTATTTTATGTATCTATCTCTTTCTTTAAAAGTAGATTAAAAAATAACTACTCTCTCTCTATATATATATATTAAGTATTGTAAAATTTATCGTGGCTGAAATACTATGTTAGTGTAGAGGAAGTGGATTAGCATAGCTAGATGGTGCCCGATGGTTGCATGAAGAGGCCATCAATGTAGTCAGCAAGTTCATAAGCTCTGCAGGACTAGCATGGCTATTAACTATTAAAATTATATAATTACGATCCTTTTCATTTCATTTCAAGTTCCTCCATTTTATTTGAAATACCCAATAACCACAGTCTAAATTATCAAAAACAAAAAAAAGCCCACTAATAATTCAAGCTCAAAAACAAAACTAAACCCACATTAATATCAAAAGGAAAAAAAAAAAAAAAAAGGCATGGTATAAAAAAACGCACCGTGCATCCAAGACATAATCTTGCCAAGACCACTAGTAAGAGTAGCCAAAACCCGAACTTGTTTGCGTGACATTGTTAATATCCCCACTGTATTCTCCAAGAAGAAGAGAGGTAATGGCTTTGATTCGAATTCGGGTTTGGGTTCAAGAAAAGTGTGTAGCCATGCTACTACTCTATTACCTAAACCGCCAGCTGGGTTTGGTTTCGATGATAGTGGAAGGCTTCTACTAAGCGGATCACCATTTTCAATTTAATCCCATGGATTAAAAAAAAAAAATTCAATCTCTTTTTAAAGAAGGTCGAGAGAGAGAAGCATGTTTTTTTTTTTTTTTTTTCAGATAACTTTTCTGATTTTTTTAATTTTTTTGCCATGTAAAAAATTAATCTGACAAGATGCGCCATGTGGATTTTTTTTAATGCCAGATATCAATTTTAATTAAAAATTAATTAAAAAATTAAAGGAGCCACATTAAAAAAATAAAATTATAAGAGTAGAAAAAATGGATGAATAAAAAAAATACATATATACATAAGCCGCATTAAAAAAATAAAAAAGAGTAGAAAAATGTTTTGACGCAATTAACCCTTAAAAAATATGCACGAGCTTTGAGCTTTCGATGGCTAGCGAACGAGAAGAACCGACCAAGACTAGTCTACAGCTCTCCCCGTTTATAGTCTGAGCTCTGGGGGTGTTAGATGCAACGTTGTTGGCACCGCGATGACGAAGATAATTGTGCTTCGTTGTCACCCTAATCGGCGCTACATGGGAGGAAAAGTTAGCAAGTGAAGTTCACAACTCTTACACGATTCAAATCCTGTTTCAGTTTACTCGCAACCAAGATAGGCCTAGTCTAGTGTCTTAAGCTAAGTTGCACAGAATCAAATTTTCCACCTCCTTTGTGACGTTCAGAACTGTGGAACCATTTTTTCCACTGACCCAGCTGCACTTGACCCGCACAGATCAACCAACTGCAACTAAGCTAGCATTTAGTAATTGCAATGTTCTGCTGGTGAATTGCGTTCTAAAAGATGTCTGAATTACCGTACCCTGAACTTAGAAACGTTGGGGCACTATTAGCATAAGAAAGCAACATGGTAAACGTATTTGACATGCTCTACCAGCTATTAATTATCTGCCTATAAAATTATAACCCTGATGAGGAATTGATACAACGGAAATATTGATCTTTGCCTCCTGTGTTCAAAAACTCTACATACAATCATTTTTCGAAAACATAGAAAAGTTTACACAGCCTGGAGCTTTGCAAGTTGTGCTTGCCGCTGTCCTAGATGGAATGCTGTAAAAATCCACAGTAAACAGACCTGCAGCCCAAAGACAAATTGTAAAACCTTAAACAAGTCTTGGTTGAATAACCACAATGATAAAACTATGAAATAGAATTTACAGAGCTTAAATATGATGAAGTGCAAAACTACACTGAGGATCTTAGGAACTGACAAGGTTGGATGAATAACCACCATAATTAATAATATAAAAAAAAATGCAGGTTATATACTGACAGGCAGAGCATAAAGAGACACTGTTGATGTCCTCCCATGAAAATTGCTGAATAGTAGTTTGTACATTCCTGCAGCTGTAGCATCTCCAAGCCGTTGAACAATGACATCTATGCATACCTGCCGCACGGTGTATAGCACTAGTTGTCATAATTTGGTAGAAGATATGTTAGGAATCGTTAAAAAATTAATGGTAATATCAAACATGGAACATGTTGAATCCATGTTATTTGCATTAATAGTGAAAGATCAGCAGTACTCATGCATGCCTACAAGAGTTTCAAGGCATTTCACTATGGACATCAGAACTTGAAAATACATTTCTACAGTAAGGGGAGAAAAGGTTGAGGAAGGATATGTTGTGAAAGAAGAACAACATTAGTGCTTGTTCATAAAATCTGGCATTAGCAACCCAATTCTGTCAAGGATACATAAAACTCATTAGTGAAGAAACATTTACAAACCTTAGCTTTGTATTTCTCTTCTTGAGTGACCACAGTAAACAGAAGTTCTCTACCAGGCCTGGTCACTACATAAGTAACCACCTGCAAGTAAGGGTAAAACCAAACCTTGAGATCTAAAAATGAATAGACTTACTTCCCCAACCAACTCAAGTGTTCTCAACAACTTAAAAGGAGGAAAGTGTATTTACCTAAATAATACTCTAGATAATTGGATAAATAAGCATTATTGTATTCAAATACGACTGAGAAAAAAAAATAGAAAGAAACAAATACAACACACAATACTGCTTCACTGCAGCAATGGATCAATTGTGACAACCTTCCGTACAGTCTCACAGATGGCAACTGCTACCCAAGTTGGCCAAACAGCAACAGCAACCAAATTTGAGAAGGCAGCAACTGGAGCAGAGCATATTGCTGCAGTAACCCCAGCTAATGTAAGGATGCGTCCCTGTGTTTAACTTGATAAGTGAAAGCGCAACAAATTATAAAGATGGAACTTTAATAATGTGAAATGCAACGAAAATTGCAGTTTAGTTCTCAGAGACACACGAACACAGGAAATATTACATGAAGAAACTTACCCAGCAGAATTGAGGAAAGTGATTGCAGATCGCAATGCACAGATATCAGTGACCACCAGAATCTGAAATAATGAATTTCTCTACTACAGATCATGCAATTTGTAAAGATTCGAGAGTTAACTAGTGTCAAAGAATATCAATTCTAATCACATTAGGGTACCATATTCCTTCTACAAAGATCCTTTCTTTAAATTTTTTTACTTAAACAAATTTTATATTCAATAGCACAAAAGTACCATGGTTATTCTTTATATCCACCACATCCAAACTAATCACGAAATTGTTTTTTTTTTCCCCCCAAGAAATTCCCTCTCAGAGGTTTTGAAATACAAGATTAAATGCTTCAGGGAAACTCAATAATGACAAATTAAAGCATGATGCCTGTTAAATTTGATCATAATTCTGAAATTGATTTTGTTAACTGGAACTCCAATAAGCATTTATCCATTTTCTTAGTTTTACAACTAGTTACTACTTCAAAACATTGAAGAAAGATATCTGGGTATTAGCTTACTGTTAAAGTAAGTTGTCCAGCGAGGATAAAAACAGCAATGAAGCTATTTATCTGGGCAAACAATTTTCTTCTGCCGACAGAGCTTGAAACAGTCATGGCAATTACTGTTACTTTCTACAATAGGAAAAGAGCATTCATTAGCAAGAGGAAATATGCATTGTAATTCATATGTAGATGAGGACAAATCATATCTAGAGCAATGGCAACCAATCAAATCATATCATATAACCCGTCAAGCCTACACAGATTAAGCTACCCAAATTTGAATTCACTTGTTGTGGAATCCCAGCTCCAAGAATTACTTATTATGGTTCAGGGTACTTGTGCATATTTTATGTAGGGTTTATAGATGCTAAAGAAATAAGTTTCAGATATCAAGCATCATATTAGCCAGAAAAAGACAGCAAAATTGATGCAGGTTCCGGCTAGTGTAGAGGTATAATCACTTGGCGAGAACTGCTGTACAGTAGACCTGAGATTAAAATCCCAGTCGTACCCAAGATAGGAAGGGTTAAATGAGGGAGAGAGTTACCCTTTGTCATGCAGCTGAATATTAAACCAAAAGGATAAGATAAATTAACAAACACATGATATTATGACGTCTACTAAGTTATATTATAAGGATAAGCATCTTATATCTCAGACCAACTGAGAAACAGAGTGCATATGTAAAGACCCTGGTCCAATCTATTTTTTACCATTAGTCTACTCTTCCTCTTCCCCTTGCTTTTCCCATTGTTAATGAAACAAAAAACAAGATATATTATAGGTAGTTCTTAAGATTTGTTTACTTCCTATTCAGGCAAATCATACAATCTGGTTCAGAAAGGGTGATTTCGAAAGTTAAAGTATAAGTACAGGAAAAAAGTTCCATTTTACCTGAAAATAGAAGAATGAGGATATAACTGCACTCAGCCACAGGAATAGGGACACATACAGCAAATAAGTTGAAGATAATATGAGCCGAAGTCCATCGAAGATGGCCCAAACCTGAGGCTTCATCCTGGATGAAGGGGACTTGGGAGAAGCAACTTTGAAAGCAGGAGATGAACGTCCATCAGCCTCACTATGCTGATCAGGATCAACTTTTCTAAAAAAACAAAAGCATTCCAATAAGCTACATAGAATCAATTTGAAAAGTTCTTTCACTCTTCCGGGGATGCAAAATAATATAACCAACATAAGTATCATATTTCTTTGTTCTTGACAGGTGAGCAGCACACACCCTAAAATGCAACAAAAGTACTAGTAGATCATCAAGACCGTTCAAATGTCTTGTCTGGAAATGAAAGCTCCATAGAGAAAAGAAAAGGGTAAAAGAAATGTATTAGATACAAACAACGAGAATTTACATCAGACTACAGATGGACCTTTCATTATAAAATCAGTTTTGTTCAAAACTAGGACATTGATTATCTATGAACTAATAGACAGTAACAAGTCATCACTGCTAATGACTGACCTTAAGGGAGATAATTCTTGAGGAAGATGGGATATATCCTTGATGATCCCCTTTGATGACTGTGCAGCTAGTTCCATCAACAAAGCAGCAAATAGAAGTAAAACTGCAATTGCATTGAACTCACAAATCATTAAAACAAAATACAAATTAAACAGAAATTCAGATCTTATGCAATCTCATTTTCCAAAGCATACGTACAAGGACCCAACCAAGCCAGTGCTGTAGCAAACAACGATCCAAATAGCTGACCAAGGGTTGCCCCAGCACCAATGAACCCAAACAATCTTGAACCTGACTGAATACAACCAATATGTCAAATACAGAATATAAAAACCATGACGATTTTAAGGTCTCCACATTGCAGCATACTAACCTCACTATCCATCACATCGATAACTCTAGCCCAAGTTGACGATATGGTAATAAGATTAAGCAGTGCAACCTTCAAAAAAAGGGATCCAAAAAAAAAAGGAAAAAAGAGAGCAAAAACTCTATAGTCAAATCATGCAATAAGCCAATATTAACAAATAAATAAAACCAATATTAACATCGGATCTCATCATACCCACAGAAACAATCCGATCCTGACAGAAATATAAAACCATCCATGATCATCCCAACTTCCGGAATACGCAGTACTGATTCGATTAACATCAACATTCAAATCCTCTTTCAATTCAGTTGATATAGCAACACTACCCTAATCATAAAAAAAGAAAAATTATTCAGAAAGGCGACCCAAAAAACAAAAAAGAAGCTGGTAATTAATAATAATAATAATAAAAATTAATACCTTAGATTTGAAGAGTGAAAACCCAGCTGCAGAAGAAGAAGAGAAATGCCATAGAAAGAAGAAGAGAAGAAGAGAAACACTAAAAAATCGGTGTATGAAAACCAAAGCCTGGTGGTGGAAGCGGGCATAAAAAATAAAAAAAGAAGAAGACAAGACAACAAATCAAAACCCCATTTAATTAATTAATTAATTAGAAACAATAATAAACACTAAATACATGGTAACAAACCTTGGATTTAGAGAGATTAGGGAAAGAGAAAAGGAGGGTTGATAAAGGAGCAGCAATCAAGGTGAGAAGAAGGGATCCAATAAAGAGAGCAGGAAGATTTGATAAACCTAGAGAAATTGCACCCTCGTCCCGCAATGGTAACACTACAAAATAAGCACTCAAAATCTGCAAAAAAAAAAAGAAAGAATTGTTGATTATATTAAAAAATAAAAAAATAAACGAAGAAGAAGTAGTAGTAACTAGTAATTACGAAGAAGAAGCAGGAAGAGGAGTGAAGGAGAGGTGAGGTTTCGTGAGGGTAGACGGAGACGAGGGTGGAGAGGATCGCATCTAATTGAGGCCTCCACCTATCTATTACTTTGTTCGATATTAACATTTTCATTAACCTTCTCTTCTCCTTCTTCTTCTTCCTCTTCATTTTCCTCTTCAACTTTCATCAACCATTTTTTGTTTGACTTTATTTTCTCACAATAAATGTTACATTATGCCCTCTAATGTTTTAGGTTGCAAATTACGTCCTCAAAACTCTGTTTTAGTGATACCCCTATGGTTTTAAATATTTCAATTGGCTCCTCAAGCTCCCGCAAACCCAAAACATCTTGTGGTGAAATTATAATTTTAATTAGAATAACGAGGGAGAGCAGGACTATTTAGTTATTTTAAAAGGTGGGTACAAAATCAAAGAACAATCTCGATCTGTAAACGATTATTGTGAATTTTTTTCGTGAAGCAGGACTATCGTTTTATTAATGAAGCTTGAACCATGAAACTGGTGTGGGGTACTTTGCAAACCTGGGATCAATTATGGGTCAAGGTTCTTTGTGCTAAGTATAGGTGCCTGGCGGATAACAATTATCTGTCTCTCTTAGAGGGTTGTGCTTGGATTTTGGGTAATGGGAGCAAATGTTTTTTCTGGAGTGATGTTCGGGTCGTAGGACAAGATTTTTGGCTAACGAATAGCTTCAATGCAGTGCCAATGAAGGTGGTCCTTTTCTGATCATTTTGCTTCTAGTTGAAGTGGTTCTCGATCCACATTATAGACCTCCTAACAAAGATGCTGGTGAAGACAGAATGGTTTGGAAACTCACCACAAATTAAGTCCGCTTGCAGGTTTTTAGAGGAGGCAAATTGGAATGATGCCAAGAAGATTTGGTCTGGATCCACATGATTAGAGTTTGGCGTTACGATTTGGAAGTTACGGAAATGGAGAAATGATGAATGTTTGTGCTATGTTAAAAGGTCAGGCTCAGGCAATCTGGTTCGTGAAATTCTGCAGTTTCTCCAGGAGATGAATACAGGGTCTTTAGGTATGCAGAGTGTGGAAAAACTGATATCTAGAGAAAAGGCCAGAGAATGGCATTCTTTGATTAGAGTCGAAACAGATGGTTATAGCAGGGGTGAGCATGGCCAAGCAACAGCTAGTGGATTAGTCAATCGGCTTGATACCATAGAATTCTAACAAAGATTATAATGGAATGCAACAATCTTGATCCTTAATATGCAACGCCAGCTGCTTCCCCTTCACAATTGGGATTTGGGGCTAGCAAGTGAGAAGTTTTAAGTATCACTTTTTTAGGTTTAATCGGGAGGCAGAAGATTTCAAAGTTGATCAGGAAGTTGAGAATTGTGAAATGAATTTAACAATAACTTTCATATACAAATTAAGAACATCTCTCGGTTATTGATCTCCCAATGAACTTACAGTTCATCAAATATGCACAGGAAAAAAGAAGAGGAAGGAGAACAAATTAACGAATTGAGAATCAAAAGACGAAGGGTGAGGTGGAAGAAGGGCATGGATATTGGGAATGAGGTAGCTAGTGCATCATGACAGAAAACTCGTGGAAGCTAAGGACACCATCTCCATTGAGATCAAATGTACGGATCATAGCCTTACAGTCGTTAATGGACCTGGACTCACCCAATCGACTTAACATCCTCTTCAAGCTATTAGGAGTCATGCAGCCAGAGCCAGGCTCTGTCTCGTACCTTCCAAAAGCCTGTTTGAGCTCCTCCGCCTTCTCCTCCTCCGAAGCACTACTGCCAGCCATTAAGCTTTGGAAATCCTGGAATCCCAACAGCCCATCTCCATCCACGTCAGAGGAGCTGACGGCTGCCTCAGCTTCCTCGATGGAAAGCTGGCCTCCAACACTGGTAATACAGCTTCGCAACTCAGCAGCAGATATCTTTCCATCTCCATCCTCGTCAAAGCAGTCAAAGACCATTTGGAGGTGGTCGCCGGTTGAGTAGTAGTTGTTAGTTTTTGTGGTAGCTGGAACAGAAATGTTATAAATATCGAGGGATTTCCAGCTGCTTGGAGATAGTGTACGACGTAATCTTGCAAGAGGTGATGATGATGATTTGAGAGATGAATTGTGGGAAGATGAAGGTGAAGGTGAAGAAGATGAAACTGAGTGTAATTTCATATATAGAATTGGTAGCTGAAAGAAGGATGGATGTAGCTAGAGATATTAATCTGCAATGGTATGAACAAATTGATGGGAATGGCACGCAATATATATACGTGATGAATGATCAAGTGTAAAAGACGTGGGCGAAGGACTTACGTACGCAGAGAGAACACGGTTTTGCAACTGGTTTGTCTTTCTCCTTCTTTCTAGCTAGAGTTGGCAAGCCAAAGGCAGGCTGAAACTTCCTTCCTCGCTTCATTGTTGGTTTTTTTTTTTTTTTTTTTTTTTCCCCTTCTCTTCCAATTTCCAAGTAGTTCCGGAATTTTACTTTTTTAAAGACTTTGAAACAATAATTGACTGGATGTGTGTTTCGTCATGGCCAAAGCATTATTAGCAAATAGCAAGGAGAGGAGCAAAGCAGTAACGTAGCCTTTCGTGGGTCCCCCTCAAGAATCTTTTCGTCATGCAACATGCCATGCTCCTTCACTGCTACTACCACTCTCCTTCCTTCCTCTTCCTCTATTTCGACTTTAGCCTCAAACCTTCAAAAACGAACAACGTGTGTGCTTTACTTGTCATCATCCCAACTAATACGTTTCGCGTGTGCTTCCATCTGTGTTGAATATTTTATTACATTATGGGTTACTATACCTTTGCTCTATAGAAATTCTCTTTTTTTGATAAATTTGTCCAATACAATAATATTGTGAGTTAATTACCTCCATCATCATCTTTTTAGAGTGTCATTATATATTGTATTTCATGTTTTGAAAACCTTACGCTTTTTCCCTTCTATTTTTCTTGTGATTGTACTTTTCATATTTTGTTGGAAATCTACTAGTTAACCGTTAAAAATAGAACTGATTTTTGGGAAGAATTCCAAATAACCACTGAGAAAATGAATGTCTAGAATAGACAACAAAAATGTCAATTCATTATTTAAAAAACAAAAAATTAATCTAAAAAAACATTATTTTTGCTTAATCTCATTTTATTTCGATATTATTAGAAAAAATCAAGAAAAATGTGCCACTTCCATTTGTAAGTGAGCATGTGTTCTAAATTTTTTTTCCCCTTCTTTTATCATATATTACAAAAACATATTAATGTGTGAATGACATGGATTTTCCAAAAAAAAAAAAAAACATAAGCTGTTCTTCAAAAATAAATAAATAAAATGGAGACTTAGTTGTATTAATTTTGAAAAACTTTTTTTCCCTCCATAAGAGGAAGAAGCTAATCGATAAATGAGGGTGCAATGTTTTCTATCTTCTTCTAAAACAGACATTTAATAATAAAAAGAAATAGATACAAAAACTAACTTTTCTAAAGAAAACCATCATTTTTTTAAATCAGAATGTGTAATGCAATGATATTCAAAACAAAAAAAGGTGGAGGTAATTAACTCATACTTCATTCTACAACAAATGCATACCTCTTCTCATTAATTATGTGCCTTCAAGAACAAGAAACAAGATGAAAAATTCCACATTAGTAAGATTAAAATACTGTCATCAACAAGAATGTTAAAAAAGTATGGAATCTCCGTTAGGAAATAAACATCATCCGAAATAACCAATTGTTACGCTAAGAGCTTGTTTGTTAAAATAAGGATTGAATTAAACAAAACAGAACGTAGATGACACCAGTGCGCATGGAATTCAAAAACTAGCGCTGGGAATCATTCTATAGCTCTTCAAAGTAAGGGCAGTAACAAGACGTTGAAACTGAGTGATATCCTGTGACGCCAATATTATGAAACCAAAAGTAGGCAAAATATTTACTAATAGCATGTGGTTACAATGGCATCGGAGAATCCATGAATGACATGACTTTGATTCTCAGCATAGGCCTTTAGTTTTACGTCTTTGAATACTGTCACTGCCAGCATCGCAAAAGCATATTTCACTTCAGTCTATCTCTCCTTAACCTCTCCAGCTCCTTGACCATTTCCCAGTGCTCCAATGAGAGTGAGGTCTTGCCAAAACTGGCAGAAATGAGGCGGCCCATTGTCAACCATCTGCAAGGAAACAAAAGACTACAGATTTAACAAAACCAGGTTAAGGAAACAGAAAGCTAATATCGTGCAAGGAAAACTCTACAGCTTCTTACCTGCTAAAGTCTTGGCTGCCTAAGCTTCGATCAGCTTGCCTTGCAGTAACCAAGTCATTTTCAACCATCTGTAAACCAATAGAACTAGCATCAATGCTGAAAAATGCTCTTCCTCTTCTATTCTTTTTCACTTCAGTTTTGCTTTCATTGTGTTTTTTTTTTTTTTTTTTTTGCTTTACACATTTGAGAAGAAAACGACCATAAAATAATAGCTAAATAACCAGCTACAAACTAGTACCGAAAGCCAGATACAAGAGAAGATAGTTAACAAGCCCTTGAAATAATTGCAGACTGTTAAACCAGGTCCAAGGCATGGGACAACTAGGTGGCATGTAACATATATTCTTGGAGTTTCATCAATTCATCTAGTGGGATGGCAACAAGTTTGTAAACCGAAGATCCATGGTAGTTTAGGCGGAAAAAAAAAAAAATCATTAGTTTTATTAATGAAGCGTGAATCATGAAACTAGCGTGGGGTGTTGGAATATATTTTAGTAAAATATAAAAAACTACATTTATTGTATTATTTATTTAAAAAAAATACATGGTTAATACTTTATTAAAAAAATAAGTGAGGATTCTTGGATTATTTTTTAATAAAATATAGAATACTATACTTATTATTATTAAATAACAAAAATAATAAAATATTCAATGCATGATTAACGAGTGAGGTACATTAAAATGTTATGATTATAATAGTTAAAAAGGTTACATCATTTATAAAAGAAGTTTTTAACCATTTTTATCGTAATTAATTTTACTTAATGATTACAATTATTTCTTCCCAAACGGTTTTATTCCTATAGCCTATATACAAAACCTTTCCCTTATGTTATGTGTACTAGAAAGAAAAAAAAAGAAAAAAAAAACATATAGCAACATTCGTATTCTCTTATTTACGTAAAAGAAGAGCATCATTCTTTTAGAAAGAAAAATATTTCTTTCAATTTTCTTGTTCTTTAATGCGTCACTATAAAGTCATATAATACTTGTTTATTTTATCTTTGAGTAAGAGCAATGCTATTATTTTTAGAGTTTCAAGTATTACAAATAGTGTAAATTTGTTAAGATACGATAAGGTGGCTAAGCTTATTGTATCTCCGAGATTATATGCAATATATTCTTCATTCGTTGCATCGTATAAATTCCGCAGATAACGTGCATTATCTTAAGAAAACAACTTGGTTGTGCCTCAAGCTAGTCATCTAAAAATTATGATAAAACTACTTTGATGGTTCGACCATCTTTCTACCGCGAAATATGATAATATGATTTTAATCATTAATTTTTCTAATGATCAAGGTAAAAAGTTCTAATTCTCTATTTATTTTAATTTACAATGAATTTATTTATTTATTATTTAATTATGTTCCTTTTGTGTGTTAGGAACAACAATTTGAGATGATACTATGTTGTGATTTAACGATTAAAATTATGAAATGAATTTGGGCATGAAATTTTAATATTATGTTTTTTATAATGTCGATGTCATTACTTATCTATTGTGGTTTCGATGGGTGTTTAATGATTCTACTTAATTGAGAATAAAGCAAGTGTGTGTTTGTGTGTGTATATATATATATATTCTTAAATCCAGACCATATATTGTTTTGAGTGGATTGATAATTCTTTATATGTGATAATATACATATATTGTTAATTCTTTATTTTATTGATCTCTAAATACAACAAAACTTATTTCCACGTAAGTCCTCTATTAGTGTGATTACGTTGCTTTTGAAAAAATAATAATAATGAAATTATCACTACTATGTGGTTAATGAGATACCAAGATCATTTTTTATGAAAAATAAGTATTATTTTCTCGCTCATATATTTTATATGCATATTTATGAGATTATTTACATATTGATCCATAATGTATTTTGTAACTTATGGTTTCGTATCAAATATTAGTATTCAAGGTCAAGAACATTGATAGTTTTGAAAATTAATATTTGTGATATTAATTATAATATTGATTTATTTTTGTGAATTTTATGGCTGATAAAAAAATAAAATTGATTTATAAATTTATTTATATTGATTAATTATAATTATTGACATTGAAATTATTTGTTATGTTGATGTCATATTATCGAGATAAATGAGAAGTTGGCAAAATATATATATACAATATTTTTATATGGATATATTAATCATCTTTAATGCAAAGTCAAATTTATGTGGCATTGGAGGCAATAGAAGCTTTACCAATATAAAAATTATTTCAAGTCTCCAACAAGTACTTCGACACGGTAAGTATAAAAATTCACATAAGTATTTTAAATATTGAATTATTAAAGTACTTTTGATTATGAAAGTATTCAATACTTATGATTGCAAGTAATTTTAGATTGTTGTATGGATATTTATTGATCCATGCATAAGTGTTTAATCTAAAAAATGAAGGGGAAAATGTGAATTATCATATAAAATCTTGTTAGTGAATATTTTGTAAATTAAATATTACTAAAATGTTAGTTCACATGATTGATTTATTAATATTTGAAAGATCATGCATTAATATAATTTAAGTCAAGTATGATTGAAAGCTAATTATTTTTATGTGATTTCGTTGAAGTTGTCATTATAATTTATGTTTGACAATCATATCTAATTGTAAAAATAAAAAAAAATGAAAATAATAATCTTATTAGCTAATTATTAGTAAGATAATTTAGCAAGCTAGGTACATGAATTAATAAAGAGTTTATCATGTAAAATTTTGTATGTAGAAAATAAAATTTGATATGTTATCTTATTTTAGAGAAGTATATCTTATTGATTGGTACGCCATAAAAAATAAATTATGAATTTTGATGATGAAATAATAGAATAATTTATGTCATCACTTTGTCTACGATGGTAGCAAGAAAATTATTCCGTGTGTTAATAGTGGGGGCATAAAAAATGCTATTGCATTAAAATTTTGTTTGAAAAAATTATTATGTAATTCAACATAAATGATCATAATTCTCTCGTGATGATAAATTATCAATCATAATTTTTCTCATGATGTTTGAATTTTTTACCACAAGTAAATTTTTAATGTAATGCTATGGAATATTTAGTAAGAGCATTCTTATTATACAAAAGGTATAATGATGCTTATAGAATATTTGGCAAAAATATTGAAAGAATTGATGGAATTAGTGACACTCCTATTGTACAATTAAAGTACAATGATGTTTTGATGATATTATTCAATAAATGAAATTAGAGACACTACTATTGTATAATTAAGATACAATGACATTGTAATGACTTTGTCTAATAAGACAATTGGTGATATTTTGAGAAATTTAAATCTCTAACTAAATATTAATATTCCTATTGTACGGATGAGATACAATGATGTCATCATGCTTTAACATGATGATGATGGCACAAGAAATAAATAAAAATATGATTACCATTAGTCGGTGTGTGTGTGCTGAAACTTAAATTGGCTAAAAATCCAAAGCCAATGAAAAAGCAAATGGATGCCAATGAAAAAATCAAGTGGATATTATGCTTTAATTGTCTAACGAAAAAATGGTAAGGATGAAAAATTCCTACCACTTGTCTTAGCAGTAATAAATTAATTAAATGCTAGTTACCTAATCTTTGGGTGTATATTGAATATTATGGGATTAAATCTTTAGCTAAAGTCAAAGGATTAGATGGTATATCGAGGGGGATGAGACTAAGCCTATAAATTAATAAAATTACCTATGTGGATACACTACTTAGAGACTAGAGATCCCAAGAACTAGGTTCAAAGAGAAGAACGAGCGAGATAGTGGTTTGGTTACATGCATAATTATTTTAGTTACAATACTCATATGTCCGTTCCTATGACACTAGTGCATGAATATCGTAACAAAATAGAGGTTAAGTTTCTTTAAAATAAACTTTTAATGTGGTCTATAGTTCTTTATGAATAGAATGTTAGAATTATGAGAGCATCCTTGATAGACACACCTATGTGAGTGAGAAAGTAGGGTCGCTTCCTATGAAAATTGAGTTATTTGTCTAGAACAATCATAGAAGCCGAGATCAAGGACAAGGTCGTTAATGTGCCGGCACCGAAACTTGTCATAGAGTATCCGGATATAATATGTGTGATATAATATTTGTTTATCATAAAAAAGCCTTAGTTCAAGAAAATATTCATTATTGGCTTGGGAGAAATGTTATTGAAATACTCGGTAAGAGTTCAAGCAATTGGCACCTTACTATGTATTATGTTTGTTTTCTTACCCGAAAATATGGCTAATATTTTATTAAAAAATAAATAGGGGATTGTTGGAAATTTTTTTAGTAAAATATAAAAAACTACATTTATTATATTATTTATTTTAAAACATACATGGCCAATATTTTTTAAAAAATAAGTGTGGATTGTTGGATTATTTTTTAATAAACTATCGAATATTATACTTATTGTTATGAAATAACAACAACAATAATAAAATATTCAATGCATGGTTAATGAGGTACATAGCTATATTTATTTTATAAATTAACAAACAATTACACCATTTATAAAAGAAGTTTTTTTTTTATCATTTTTATAATAATTAATTGCACTTAATGATTGCAACTATTTCTTCCCTAAGGGTTTTATTCATATAGTCTACATAGAGGACATTTTGCTTATGTTATGTGTACTAGAATAAAAAGAATATATATATATATATATATATATATATATATTTGTATGCTCTTGTTTATAGAAAAGAAGAGCATCATTCTTTTAGAAAAGAAAAAATTCTTTCAATTTTCTTATTTATTAATCTCCCAATGTAAAGCCATATAATATTTATTTGTTTATCCCCGAGATGATGTGTAATATATTATTGATCCATTGCATCGGATAAATTCTGCGGATGGCGCGTATCGTCCCAAGAAAGCAACCTCGTTGTGCCTTAAGCTAGTGACCTAAAAATTATGGTAAAACTATTTTGTGCTTTTAATCATTAATTTTTCTAATAATCAAGATAAAAAATTTTAATTCTTTATTTATTTTAATTTACAATACATTTATTTATTTATTATGTCAATATTTATTATTTAATTATCTTCATTTTGTGTGCTAGGAACAACATGGGGTACTTTGCAAACCTAGGATCAATTATGGGTCGAGGTTCTTTGTGCTAAGTATAGGTGCCTAGCGGATAACAATTATCTATCTCTCTTAGAGAGTTGTGTTTAGATTTTGGGTAATAGAAGAAAATGGATTTTCCGGAGTGATGTTTGGGTCATTGGACAAGATTTTTGACTAACGAATTGATTCAATGCGGTGTTAGTGCTTTTATGAACAATCAACAATGGTCAATGAAGATGGACTTTTTCCGATCATTTTGCTTCTAGTTGAAATGGTTCTCGATCCACATTATAGCCATGTTTCCTCCTCAAAAAGATGTTGGTGAAGACAGAATGATTTAGAAACTCACTATAAATTAAGTTCGCTTATAGGTTATTAGAGGAGGCAAATTGGAATGATACCAAGAAGATTTGGCATGGATTCACATTATTAGATTTTGGCGTTACGATTTGGAAGTTATGGAAATGGAGGAATGATGAATGTTTTTGCTATGTTAAAAGGTCAAGCTCGAGAAATCGAGTTCGTGAAATTCTGTAGTTTCTCCAAGATATGAATACGAGGTCTTTAGTTATTCAGAGTGTGGAAAAGCCGATATCTAGAGAAGGCTAGAGAATGGCATTCTTTTTTAGAGTCGAAACAGATGGTTATAACAGGGGTGTTAGGATTTAGTTATGCTTAGGACTCCGTTATGAAGAGATTGAGTAGGATTAATGCTTGTATTGGATAAACATCGGTAGTTTACGTGTCTTAGTTTACTTCTTTTGTGTTGTCCGATTGTAAGGCTATAAATAGCCATGCTTCGCTTATGCTATTAATGTGAGACTCTTTCAAGCTCTCTATGTTTTCTTCTTGGATATAACAATTGTTATCAAAGCTTGTTGAAGAGATATGTCATTAAAGAGCTCCTTTGTTTAACTCTGCGGTCCCAAATTTTAATGGGCACTATGATCATTGGGCTAAGCTCATGGAGAACTTCTTACAATCAAAGGAGTACTAGAGTTTGGTGGAGAATGGAATCTTTGAAGCAGCAGAGAATGGCACTCCTATAGGTACACGTAAAGGAAGCATTGAGAACAAAAGTTGAAAGGATCTCAGCAGCAGTAAGATAGCTCCTCTATAGATACACAAAAGAAAAATATTGAAGAACAGAAGTCGAAGGACTTGAAAGAAAAGAATTACTTGTTTTAAGCTCTAGATCGCACCATTTTGGAGACAATCCTTAACAAGGATACAGCAAAAGCTATATGAGACCCCATGAAACGAAGTACCAAGGTACAACACGAGTCGGAGAGCACAATTACAAACTCTTCATAAGGAGTTTGAAACACTCCACATGAAGGTAGAAGAATCCGTGAATGAATACTTTGCTCGAACACTCACCATTGCCAACAAGATGAAAGCCAATGGTGAGGATAAGGGAAACACTCGTTGTAGTTGAAAAAATCTTGCAATCAATGACTCCTAAATTTAACCATGTTATGTTCTCCATTGAGGAGTCAAACGACACAAGCACAATGACCATTGATTTGTGAGTTAATTACCTCCATCATCATCTCGTTTAGATTATATATTGTATTTCGTGTTTTGAAAATCTTATGCTTTTTCCCTTCTATTTTTCTTGTGATTGTATTTTTCATATTTTGTTAGAAATCTACAAGTTAACCATTAAAAATAGAGCTGATTTTTGGGAAGAATTCCAAATAACCACTAAGAAAATGAATGTCTAGAATAGACAATAAAAATCTCAATTCATTATTTAAAAGAAAGTAATCTAAAAAAAATTATTTTTGCTCAATCTCATTTTATTTTGATATTATTAGAAAAAAATCAAGAAAAATGTGCTACTTTCATTTGTAAGTAAGCATGTCCCGTAAATTTTTCCCCCTTCTTTTATCATATATTACAAAAAAAAAAATATTAATGTGTGAATGACATGGATTTTCAAAAAAAACATAAGTCGTTCTTCAAAAATAAATAAATAAAATGGAGACTTAGTTGTATGAATTTTGAAAAACTTTTATATTTCTCTCCATTAGAGGATGAGGCTAATCGATAAATGAGAGTCCAATGTTTTCTATCTTCTTCTAAAATAGACATTTAATAATAAAAAAAGATATAAAAACTAACTTTTCTAATCTCATATAGAAAACCGTAATGTTTTAAATCGGAATGTGCAATGCTATGATATTCAAAACAAAAAAAACATGGAGGTAATTAACTCATACTTCATTCTACAACAAATACATACCTCTTCTCATTAATTATCTACCTTCAAGAACAAGAAACAAGATGAAAAATTCCACATTAGTAAGATGCAAAAATATATTCATCAACAATATTATTAAAAAGGTATGTAATCTCCTTTAGGAAATAAACATCATCCGAAATAACGAATTGTTACGCTAAGAGCTTGTTTGTTAAAATAAGGATTGAATTAGAGAAAACAGAACATAGATGACACCAAGTGTGCATGGAATTCAAAAACTAGCGCCGGGAATTATTCTATAGCTCTTCAAAATATGGTCGATACCAAGACGTTGAAACCGAGTGATAAATACTATTGATCTAACTTGCAGGAATATAAAACTATTCTAAAGAAAGCTAGATAAAAGATGATCTTTAGAGAAATCTTGTCATGTCCCCTCCTTCTCTCTCGTTCATCCTTTTTTTTGAAATAATTTGTTGATCGATAACTCGTCCGGAGTTTTAAATTTGAGCACGAACGGTTATCATGTTTTATCTTAATCTCTCGTTCGTCGATATTGGTTAGTTTATAAAATCAAACGCATCGTTTTACTTAAGATCCCGAAGACGCATCATTTTGATAAAAATGCAGCGTTTTAGTGCATAAATACACATCGATTCCAATCGACATCCGGCTTTTAAAATTTTATGCTCCCCTTTTAGTCCTTTAGAGATGAAACGATAAGTTTTCTCTCTAACGTACAGTATCATTAAATGATTATTAGATGTGATGAGACTATGCAAATTCTCATCTTTTCAAAGGTGGCTACTTTATTCAGTAATCCGACTTTTTATTTCGCCAAATTTGAACCGTTAAGTTCAAAAGTGAAATCATCACGACTTTTGAACATATTCAATATAAAATAAAATCGAATTTATAATTTTACACTTTTTCATGATTCTTCTTATTCAGTATAAAACAGATCATTAAACTCTTGAATGCATTCAATAGTCTGCTTCCTTCACGATTGGGATTTGGGGCTAGCTAGTGAGAAGTTTTAAGTATCATTTTTTTAGGTTTAATCGGGAGGCAGAAGATTTCAAAGTTGATCAGGCAGTTGAGAATTGTGAAATGAATTTAACAATAACTTTCATAGACAAATTAGAACATCTCTCAATTATTGATCTCCCAATGAACTTACAGTTCATCAAATATGCACAGGAAAAAAGAAGAGGAAGGAGAACAAATTAATGAATTGAATGAAAAGACGAAGGGTGAGGTGGAAGAAAGGGCATGGATGTTGGGAACGAGGTAGCTAGTGCATCATGACAGCAAACTCGTGGAAGCTAAGGACACCATCTCCATTGAGATCAAAGGTACGGATCATAGCCTTACAGTCGTTAATGGACCTGGACTCACCCAATCGACTTAACATCCTCTTCAAGCTATTAGGAGTTATGCAGCCAGAGCCAGGCTCTGTCTCGTACCTTCCAAAAGCCTGTTTGAGCTCCTCCGCCTTTTCCTCCTCCGAAGCACTACTGCCAGCCATTAAGCTTTGGAAATCCTGGAATCCCAACAGCCCATCTCCATCCACGTCAGAGGAGCTGACGGCTGCCTCAGCTTCCTCGATGGAAAGCTGGCCTCCAACACTGGTAATACAGCTTCGCAACTCAGCAGCAGATATCTTTCCGTCTCCATCCTCGTCAAAGCAGTCAAAGACCATTTGGAGGTGGTCGCCGGTGGAGTAGTAGTTGTTAGTTTTTGTGGTAGCTGGAACAGAAATGTTATAAATATCGAGGGATTTCCAGCTGCTTGGAGATAGTGTACGACGTAATCTTGCAAGAGGTGATGATGATGATTTGAGAGATGAATTGTGGGAAGATGAAGGTGAAGGTGAAGAAGATGAAACTGAGTGTAATTTCATATATATATAGAATTGGTAGCTGAAAGAAGGATGGATGTAGGTAGAGATAGAGATAAAGACAAATTAATCTGCAATGGTATGAATAAATTGATGAGAATGGCACGCAATTTATATACATGATGAATGATCAAGTGTAAAAGACGTGGGCGAAGGGCTTACGTACACAGAGAACACGGTTTTGCAACTGGTTTGTCTTTCTCCTTCTTTCTAGAGTTGGCAGGCTGAAACTTCCTTCCTCGCTTCCTTGTTGGCTTTTTTTTTTTTTTTTTCCTTCCAACTTCCAAGTAGTTCCGGAAGTTTACTTTTTTAAAGACTTTGAAACGATAGTTGACGATTAAATAGGGAGCTGTGAGTGTGGGGCCATGGCCAAAGCATTATTAGCAAATAGCAAGAAGAGGAGCAAAGCAGCAACGTAGCCTTTCGTCAGTCCCCCTCAAGAATCGTTTCGTCATGCAACATGCCATGCTCCTTCACAACTATTTCGACTTTAGCTTCAAACCTTCAAAAACGAACAACGTGTGTGCTTCACTTGTCATCATCCTAACTAATACATTTTGCGTGTGCTTCCATCTGTGTTGAATATTTTAGTACATTTTTCAAGTTAATTTGTAACTACGGGTTACTATACCTTTGCTCTATAGAAACTCCCTTTGTTTGATAAATTGTCCAATACAATAATATTGTGAGTTAATTACCTCCATCATCATCTATATATATATATATATATATATATATATATATATATATATATATATATATTTGAAAACCTTACGCTTTTTCCCTTCTATTTTTCTTGTGATTGTATTTTTCATATTTTGTTAGAAATCTACTAGTTTGCCGTTAAAAATAGAGCTGATTTTTGGAAAGGATTCCAAATAACCACTAAGAAAATGAATACCTAGAATAGACAACAAAAATGTCAATTCATTATTTAAAAAAAAATTAATCTAAAAAAACATTATTTTTGCTCAATCTCATTTTATTTCGATATTATTAGAAAAAAATCAAGAAAAATGTGCTACTTCCATTTGTAAGTAAGCATGTCCTCTAAATTTTTTCCCCCTTCTTTTATCATATATTACAAAAAAACATATTAATGTCCGAATGACATGGATTTTCAAAAAAAACATAAGTCGTTCTTCAAAAATAAATAAATAAAATGGAGACTTAGTTGTATGAATTTTGAAAAACTTTCATTTTTCTCTCCGTAAGAGGATGAAGCTAATCGATAAATGAGGGTGCAATGTTTTCTTTCTTCTTCTAAAACGGACATTTAATTAAAAAAAAAACAGATATAAAAACTAACTTTTCTAATCTCATAAAGAAAACCATAATGTTTTAAATCGGAAGGTGCAATGCAAAAAAAGGTGGAGGTAATTTACTCATACTTCATTCTACAACAAATACATATCCCTTCTCATTAATTATGTGCCTTCAAGAACAAGAAACAAGATGAAAAATTCCACATTAGTAAGATAAAAATATATTCGTCAACAATATTGTTAAAAAGGTATGCAATCTCCGTTAGGAAATAAACATCATCCGAATTTTTACGCTAAGAGCTTATTTGTCAAAATGAGGATTGAATTAGACAAAACAGAACACGGGTGACACCAATGCGCATGGAATTATTCTATAGCTCTTCAAAATATGGTCAGCACCAAGACGTTGAAACCGAGTGATGTCCCGTGACGCCAATGTTATGCAACCAAAAGTAGGCAAAATATTTACTAATAGAATGTTGTTACATTTGCATCGGAGAATCCATGAATGACATGAATTTGATTATGAGCATATTAGACGAACTTCACAATAATTATGGTGACGAGCTATGTGATGACTATGTGACAACTATTAGAGCCTATATATGTAAATCATATTAGTCGTGCTAATTGCTATTATTTAGGGAGTAAATTAGGTTCCGTAATTCAAGTAATTTCCTTTTTCATAGACTTAACTTTGTGTATATAAGGAGACTACTAGAACAAGATAATGAAAAGGTTTTGAGTTCATATTCTCTCTATTTTCTTTATAATTGACATGGTATCGTAGCCATGATATTTCTTCTTTGAAATATATTTTTTTCTTGAATTCTTTGGTGAGCTTTTGCATTTTTTCTTGATTTTTGTGTGAATCAACTTGGGGTGGGAATTGATTTCGTGTGAAATCTGGTTTGGTGTTGATTATTTCCTTTGTGGTTATCTTTATAGTTGATTTTTTTTTTTGTTCTTATTGTTTGGTGGATCCTTCTTCCCTCTTGATATGTCGGACCATAAAGAATTTATCCCGATACGTTTTGATGGTCAAAATTATTTTCTTTAGGAATTTAATCTTCAAAATTTTATTCAAGGAAAAGAACTATGGGGTTTTATTAGTGGTACCGATAAACCCCCCACCGATCCTAAAGAGGAGGCCGAATGGGTGTCAAACAATGCTCGAGTCATCGGTTGGATTTTGGGTTCAATGGCACCTCATATTGCCTTGACTTTACGCCCTTATCCGATCGCATGTGAGATGTGGAATCATTTAAAAATAGTTTATCACCAAGAAGATGTAGCTCGAGAGTTTCAACTTAAAAAAGATTTACGGGATTATACCCAAGGCGATAAATCTATTCAAGATTACTATTCGGTTTTCGTGGTATTATGGCTTGAATATGCATCTCTTATATATACTACTCGTTCCTCCAAATGCTCTTTCTGCAAAGGCAAAAACTTCATGAGACATCAAAACATCATCAATTTCTCATGAACTTGAGGAATGAGTTTGAACCTATTCATGCTATGTTGATGGGTGGACATCCTACGCCGACTCTTGACATGTGTTTTAAAGAACTTCTTCGTGAGGAGCAACGCCTAAAGTCATTGACTCAAATGGAGCAACGAAAGGTTCTCGGCCGCTCCGATGTGGCCTATGCAACTCATGCCACCCCACAAGTCTCTAATCCCATTAAAGTGGCATTTTCAGCTCAAGGTAGATCAAAGCCTCATGATATTAGCAATATCCAAGTGCTATTCATGTAGAGAATATGGCCACTATGCTAGTCAATGTAAAAACAAGTTATGTAACTATTGCAGAAGCCGAGACACCATATTGGGGAATGTCCTCGACATCCTTAAAATTGTCCCAAAGCATATCATGCGCATGTCTCTCCTCCACAACGAAGATACAGCTTCGTTCTTTATCCATAGCCTCTGCTGATATAGGTTCCGTTTCTTCCTCACTTACTCCCGAACTAGTGCATCAAATAATCCAATCTGCTTTTTCCGCCATGGGGTTCTCGGGTAAAAAATCTCCTTTTCTTTGGTATTTAGACTCGGTGCATCAAATCACATGACTTGGGCATCTCAAAACTTGAAAAACATCAATTCTTATCATGGTCCTAACCAGATTTGCACTCGTCGGTGGTCAAAATCTTTCTATTTCCGGCATAGGAACCATTCAAACCGATTCTCTTACGTCTAATGATGTCTACCTTGTTTCGATTTGAATGAAAATTTTCTTTTCGTTTGTCAACTTGTTGAAAATAATTGGGTAGTTCTTTTCTCTCCTTTTGGTTGTGTTATACGAGATCCGGGAACGAAGAAGCTCATCGGGAAGGGACATAAAAAAGGTCATCTTTTCAACCTCCAAGTTGCGTGCTCGAATATTCACCCATACCTTCTTGTTCTACTTTTGCCTTTTCATCTATTAGTGTCCGCTTCTAATAAACAAGAATTATATGCCTTGTGGCATCGTCGTTTGGGACATCCCAATTTGACAAGATTGTTATCTATGATCAATTCCGGTTTACTTTCTAATAAAATTCATGTTTCGAAAAAGATGTCCAAAGTTTTTGTTCTAGTTGTGCCTTAGGTAAAGGTAAAGTTCTTCCTTTTTCGTTACACTCTAATGATACAATTTATTTTGATCTCATTCATTCGATGTGTGGGGAATTGCTCCTTATGTATCTCATACTAGTTACAAATATTTTGTAACTTTTATTAATAATCATAGTCGTTTTACTTGGGTTTATTTCTTATGTTATAAATATGAAGTTTTTAATGTTTTTCAACAATTTATAGCTCTTATTGAAAATCAATTCTCTCAATGCATTAAAAGACTTCGATCGATTCGAGAGGAGAGAACATGTCTACCGATTTTCAAAATTTCCTTCGCTCAAAACACATTATGCATGAAAAGTCTTGTCCTTATACACCCCAACGAACGGGGTTGTTGAAAGGAAAAATCGTCATATTTTAGAGGTTGTTCGTACTTTATTTCTTGATTCTTCGGTTCCAACTCAATTTTGGGTTGAAACTGTTCGTACTCGCTATTTACCTCATTAACCGTCAAAATTCTTTCACATTAGGCAATGATTCTCCATATTTTAAATTGTTCAAAAAACATCTAAACTATAAATTACTGCATACTTTTGGTTGTGAATGTTATGTTTATCTACCTCTTTATGAGAGGAATAAATTTTCTCGCTCGATCCGTTAAATGTGTTTTCTTAGGATATGCACTAGGGTAAAAAGGTTTTGTGTGTTATGATCCATTTAAAAAACGAATTCGGATTTCTCGTAATGTCATCTTTTATAAAAATAATTTCTTTTATCAACATAATCTTTCTAACAATTCAGTTTCTTCTTCTTATTCTCTTTTACCATCATTTGAGTCTTCAACTAGTTCTTCAACTCAACGTTTCAAACTAGGACTTGTTTATTAACGCGGACCACATACCGAAATTTCTTCGTCCCGACCGATGATTCTTCTTCGCCTCCAAATCTAGTTCCTCTTCGTCGTTCTACTCGTGAGAGTCATCCTCTTGATCGGTACTCTCCTTCCTCTTCCTTTGCTATTTTAAGTACTACCTTTGTTCCTCACTCTTTTAAGCAGGTCGTAGGTCACTCTTGTTGGTAGAAAGCTATGGATGTGGAATTAGATGCTTTGATGGAGAATCATACTTGGGATCTTGTACCTTGCCCATCGAATGTTACGCTCATTAGCCGTAAATGGGT